GTAACAGCTGCAGAGCAGAAAGCCTCAGAGTAATGCCCTTGTTGGACCACCGGGGAAAATGCAGGTAGCATAGTAAAATTTATTTCAGTAGATTGACCTCACTGGATGTATTTGATGTCTGGAGTACTAATACTGACTTTATACTCTGGAGCTGGGGAGCTTTGCAGGATGTGATCAATTATCGGTATTGAAAAGTGACTTGAGGCAGAGCTAGAGGTAGAACAATGGTCTGATCTTCACAAGGCTGGTTACCTTTGATGGAAAAGTGGGTATAAGAAACTGAATAATATTGGAAAGGACTTTCTTTACAGAGACTTTATCCCTCGCCCAAAAGGAGGCATGGCACAAAGTGCTGGAAACCCTCAATTGGGCCACCACTCTGGTCACTAAAGAACCATTATTCTGCCAGGGTGGAGCTGACAGGGCTTGACTAGAGGATTAGAATGGGCTGGGGCAGGACTACGGAGCAAATTAAGAAAGGAGGTATAAGAAGTAAGGTGACCTTATTTCCCAAAGGGAAAACAGAACGCCATGTGGAGCTTGCCCAAATTAACCCTGCCACAGCCAGAGCTGCTTGTACAATCCTCCCCTGCATATAGGAGCTAGCCCAAGTGGCTCACCTGAACCCCCTCACACACTTGGGGCTGGCCTTAAGGGACCTCCCCTCCCTTGTCTGAGCCACTTGGTGTCATGGCCTGTCTAAGCCCCGCCATGTAAGGCTGGTGCTGCCGCTTTGCCTTCATTCATGAACATTCTTCTGTGCCTCACTAGCAGGGCATGTCCCATATTTTTTGGCAAAACTAGGCATTGCTCAAAAAATTGACTACTCAGAACACTAGAACAGAGGTTTAAAAGTGGATTGTCCCAGCTAAAATGGGATGTATGGTGACCCTGCAAAGGAAGGAAGTTTAGGAGAGGAAGGAAGGCTAGCAGAGCCAAAGTCAACACAGATCTCCGGATGGAGAAAGTTCTTCCCTTTTCTCTCCTGAATCTGTACATAATTATGGTATATGGCTCAATAAGGTGATGGGAAGAGCCAAGGTAAAAAAATACTGAGTATGTAAGCAACTAGTTGAGTAGTCAACTACCCAATAAGCCTAGGCCTAGGTTTATAGGGTAGCCAAGTCACCGCTTCTCTACTTACTTCCCAGATCCCCCTTGCTGCCTCTGTATCAGAGGCAGAAAGCGGGGGGAAGCAGGACCTGTTCTGGGGAAAGCCAGCCAGGTCCCAGACCTACCCCCACTGCAGCTCTGCCCAGCTCCTACTACATTTTAACTGCAGTTCCTGGACCCTGACCCCGCTTATCAACTAATCATGTAGTCGATACAAATTATATCAACTAACAATTAGTCAATTACCTGCTTCTTAACATCCTTAGCACTGGGATGTCTAATAAGTGAAAGTCTTTGAGTCTGTGTAGACAGAGAAGAAGACTGTGGTAGGATATCACCCTGTCACAAGGAGATTACAGCAAAAGAAAGAAAACCTGAGGTTTTCAAAGCCATTCAGGGGGGATTAGGCACACATCTTTTAGTTGATTTAGTGAAGAATATGTGTCTAAATCTTCTAAACAGCTTTGAAAATGTTAATGCCTGTTCCCATCATTTAACTATGTACTCTCAAAACATTTCAAAATATCCTGTATCAGCCATAGGAGAATGCATGCTAACAATCCACAGGCAGACCATAAGGTATATCTTTTCTAAAACGATCATGAGGGGAGTATTACAAATGCTTGTTGATTTAAACCTGCTCCTTTTCAAGTCTGCAACAGTTTGGTCTGGTTTTAACATGCATTGAAATAGGAGGGGGTACCTTCCTTGTACCAGTAAAAGCAAAGGAAGATGTACAGAGGAGCACTTTACCCAAAGCAAAGGGAGAAGGGGAAGTGTTGCATTACCCTCCACCCCCATTTACTCTGGCCATTACTTCAATGGAATAAGGATCAGGCCCTACAGTAGCTAACAGGGTATATCACACACATAAAAATCACAGTAGGACAAGAAATCCCCTTGCGCTTCTAACATTTTCCTGCAATCATATCTGAAGAAGGAAGTACTCTATAAAGATTTATGTTTTGTAGAATATCTTTTGGGATAGCTATCTTAGGTACAGGTTGAACCTCTCTGATCCGGGACTCTCTGGGTGTGTCTAAACTACACCCCTCTGCCAACAGAGGGATGTAGATTAGGTAATTGCTATTGCAAATGAAGTGGGGATTTAAATATCCTGCACTTCATTTGAATAGAAATGGCCGCCACTTTTTGCCATGGCGGCACTTTGCTGGCAAAAAGCGACAGTCTAGACGGGGATCAGTCGACAAGGAAAGCCTTTTCCGACCAATTCTGTAAACCTTGTTGCACGAAGCAACAAGGTCCTTGTTGACCGATCCCTTGTTGATCCTTGTTGACCGATCCCTGTTTAGACTGCCGCTTTTTGCTGGCAAAGTGCCATGGTGGCAAAAAGCAGTGGCCATTTTTATTCAAATGAACTGTGGGATATTTAAATCCCCGCTTCATTTACAATAGCGATGTGCCTAATCTACATCCCTCTGTCTCATAGGACCACGGATGTTGCTGGACCAGCGACCCCTAGGACCAGAGAGCTCTGACAGAGGCCTGGAGCTCTGGGGAAGCCTTGGGACTATGGAGTGCTGGCAACCCTGGGGCTGGCTGTAGAACTCCAGTGGCCCAGGGAAGAAGAGCCTGGTGGCCTATGGCTGGCGCTGACGCTTGGGTGGCTCCAGAGAGGTTGAACCCTGGCAGCCCAGGGTAGCTGAGCCACCAGGGTTCAGCTACTCTGGGGAAGGGGAGCCCCAGAGCAGTGGGGCCCTGGTAGCTCTGGGGCAGTGGAGCCCCAGCAACTCCAGAGCAGTGGAGCCCCAGCAGCCCTGGGGCAGTGGAGTCTGGCAGCCTTGGGACAGTGGAGACCTAGGAGCCCTACAGCTGGCCAAGAAGCTGGGAGCCAAGTGGCCCGGAGGTGGGGAGGAGCCTGGCAGAGGGGCCAACCTCCCCTGGTCCAACAGCTCCCTCCTTCGGAACCGGTCAAGTCCAAGGATGCAGGACTGCGGAGATCCACTAGTGTTTGTATGGGTCCCCTGTTACCATTGTGTCCAAACACCCTGGTGACAGAAGGAAGCACTATTATCTCCTACTTGCTGTGGGGGCGGGGAATTGAGGCACAGATATACTTGCCCAAGGACAGATGGCAAATCTGTGATAAAGAAAGAATTTAAACTCAAGTCTCTTGAGTCATCGACTGAACCATCCTTCCTCCACTAGATCTGCTTTGACTCCATTAGTGCTATACCTTGGTGAAAACACACACACATGAAAATGTACTCTTAATATTAATAACATTATTTTTAAAACATCTATTTTAACCATTCACTGAGTAGTTTTTCTCCACCACAGCAACAATGACTGTTTCTGGATCTTGCTACTAGGTCAGTGGTCTCTCATTATATCATATTTACCAACGGCTAATTGTTTCAAGTATATCCAGGTACTTCTGAACAGGCAGTAGTTAAACAACACTTGTATGGATTAGGGGATTGGACATGGGATACAGACCTTTTCACCTCTGGGTTTATGGTTCAAGTGTCACTACTAATTGCTAATTGACTATAAATACATCATAACAAAGATGTCAGTGCTGCTTCTGTGTCTCACTGAAGGAAAATGGACTGTAAACTTCATTTCCAGTTCTCTGAGACAGAGTTGGGTGAATAGTTTGGAGAGGTGTGTGCTACTACTGCTGTCCCTAGTCTATAGCTAGAGATCTTCAGTTTCCAGGGCTGTCAATCCATCACCTTTCTGGAGCATTAAGTTGACTTTAAAAAAATGATTTTTAACAGAAAAGGATGTTATTGCTTACATTGATGTCACTGAAAAGGTGTTACCACTTTCAGTGATGCTAATGTGAAGGTACAGGAGAGATGTGAGTTAATTGCATAGTTACCATTCTAGTATTGATTTATGCTCTACTGACATTTACAGAGAAATAAAATAGAGTTTATATTATGCATTTTCTATAGCAAAATTTAAGATATGAAAATGAATGCTGACTGTGTCACTTTTCCTTGTCAAAGCTATTGTATATAAAGAGATGATGTTAGGAAAATGTGGATTTTCTCTTCCTGTAGTTAATTCTACTTGAATCCACCAAATGAATCTATATTTAATGCTACTTTTTGGGGGAAGAGAGATGGAGAGTGACTTATCTGATTAATTGGTCAATTCTCTCCAATAGTTAATGGCTTTCTGATGTGTCCTGATGCTGTGGCTATGGTCATCATTTTAATTTAGACTCACAAGAGCTCTTATGGATTTATTTCAAATTTTGTTACTCATGTTCTCTATTATTAAAAAATCAATCGTCTGAGGCAGCAGAGGATGCATGAATGATATAGAAATACTAGTCAAAAGGTATTTACTCACATCATAAATACAATTCTTTCCAAACTATAAAAACAATTTGTCTTTCCTTCATAGTTGTTCTTTACATTCCAATCTGATCACTAAGTTGTAGGTCTCTTTTGTTTACTTCTTAGGACACGAGGCCTTCCAAAAATAGAAAATTCCTTGAAAGACATAATCCAAAGCAAATGTCACTGGGTCACATCTGAGGTTTGGCTTTAGTGGCATGGAAGTCAGCTACAGTTAATGGGTCACATGCTTCACTTTTCCATTCCCTACATTACACAAGACTATATGGAGTGTGGATCCAAGAGATGATTCTGTGTTACTCACATTTCTGAGTGGGAAGCAGTGGAAGGGAGGAATGGATTTAATTTCTTACTGCAACTTTCTATCATTAGAGTCAAGCAGGATAACAGATGAAGAATCTGGCATTGCATTCCATTCCAGTGGGTATAAACACAGGTTAACTGAACAATAGGTCTCTAAAGGTCTCAATTTCAGGCCCCCAGAAAAGATATTTCTGGGTTTATTTCCACATGTAGCGCCCCCCCCCCCCAACCTCAGCCCCAAGTTCTTACCTACATTCCTGGACTAAACCTGAGGTGCAGACCATCCACCTGGGAAAGTGTTCCCCATCACTCTAGTAGAGAAAGAGATAACACAATCCAATGACTAGAAGTCGATGCTGAGCAAATTCAAAGGGTACATAATATGTAAATTATTAACAGTGAGGGTAAATAACCATTGGGAACAATTTCCCCAAAAGTCAGATGGGTAGGTCAAGAATGGATGTTTTCATAAAAGATGAGCTCTGAAAGTTATTTGGGGAAAGTTCTATAACCAATGTTATGCAGGAGGTCAGACTGGTTGATCACAATGATCCCTTCTGGCCTTAGAATCGATGACTGTATGTGATACCATCATGTGACCACCAAGGTAGAGGACCTCTGGAACCTACTGGTTAATCCAACCCTTTCTAGCTGAGGTAATTATATGACCTCAATGATAGTATCTGAGCACCTGATGTAATTTATCCTTCCAACATCCTTCAGCTCTATTGGGACACTTGTATCCCCATTTTGCTAGGTATAGAAACTGACTCTATCTTACCAGTGTTTGAAAAGCAGTGCCCTTGCATTAGTCCCCCCAGCCCTGAATCTTGCCAGCCTTTGAAATATGCATTTTTCATCATAACACAAGAAACTTAATTATGTACCAAAATGAATACTGTTCTTTCAGCAGTAACCTAGACATATCAGCACATCACATATCCTTTTTGAAAAGAAAATACACAGTTAGACATGTACACACTGCTATACATTGATCACCCTCAAATGCAAGTCCACTAAGATATAATGGTGGCAGTGCACACACCACAGAAGCTGTTCTTTCCCAAGGTTACTTTTGTTTGCTACTGCTTACCACCTCTATCCCACTGTGGTGCTCTGGTGGGTGGGGGGGCAACAGGAAAAGGTTTCACTATAGCAAGGATAGGCTCTGCCGATA